TGCCCTGATTGCCAACAGAAAACAGATGTCTCTGGGTTTGAAGCTGAGCAAATCACTTTACAGTTAAAATCGGGCGCTGATAAAGCATAATAAATTCCATATGGCTCATTTAATACACAACAGCTTCTTGCATTAGAGGGGCTAATGATGAGATTTGTCCCCTCCTTTCTGTTGACACATTTCTCCATTGTCAAACAGAGATGTGACAGCAAATCAGTATTTTCAGCTCAGGGGAACAAGTCGTGGGAAAGTTAAATAACTTTTTTAACAGAAAGACACCCCCTTTCTTTCTCCTCTATTCATGGCAGAAGATGTAATTAAGTGAATATGAATTATGAGAGTCCCTTCGTTTACCTTTGGGTCTACTCAGACTTATTAATTCAATAAGGGGGAATTGTAGTGAGGACAGCTTGCTAATTGAGTTTTAGCGGGGAGGAGAGACGCTCCCTCCGTGCCAGGCTGTTGCCTTCCTCACGAGCACAATGCCTCTTCGTCGTGGGTGCCCGGAGAGGCGTGCGTGGAGATCAATTCCCGCTGAACAACTGCAGGGAGACTCGCAGCGCTGCTGCCTTTCTGCCTTCCGGGAAAGAAGGGACTCATACTGAGCTTACAAAGCCCAGCATAACAGGAAAAACTCTGCCCACACCTGTCCCAAAAGATTTACAAGCGTCTCTCTCTCAAAGTCTCTGTCTGTAGGTGCGTGTGATGGCCCCACATTTGGTTATTAACGGAATGTTTTATTTTCCTTTGAAATATGGTTTATTTTCCTCTACCTTTCTCCTGCTTTAAGCAGCTTTATTTCACGATTTTTGCTTTGTGGGAGGGGTAAAAGAAAGGACGGCAGTGCCATGGCATCCTAACTAAATTTCATAAAATAGATTTTAAAAGGGCAGCCTTGAAGTCTATATTTGTTGCTTTGGTTGCCTCACAAATTATTTCTTCGTTTCCGATGTCACCGAAATTACGATTTTTTTTCCTCTTATTAAATCTGAAGGGGAAAAAAAAAGTCTACGATCTCCAAACCATATAATTTGTAAATATGCCCTTTAACGAAAAAAAAAAAAAAAAAAAAAAAAGTCGCGGTGTGGGTGTGAGTGCGGAATGATTCCCGCGTAGTCCCCTTGGGAATTCGTACTGCCGCTGCTCCAGCGCATCGGGAGCCGCCTCCCGCTCCGCTGTCTGCCCGCACCGCCGGCCTGCCGCCCAGGTGTGCGGGGTGCGGAGCTGCTGCGCCCCTCCGGGAGCCGGGGCCCGCCGCGGGGCCGGGGCTGGCACCGGGAGCCGCGGCTCGGCCCCGGCGTGGGTCGGCCCGGCCCGAGGCTCGGCGCGGCACCGGCACACGTGGGCCCTTGGGGCGATCCCGCTCCGGGGGCGGCGGAGGAGCGGTGGCCGTCGGGCCGGTGCGGGGCTCCTGCGGGGCTCGCCGCTCCGAGGGCGCGTGCAGGCGTATTAAAACCGGTTTTTCTTTTGGCTTTCAGGTATGGTTCCAGAACCGTAGGGCTAAGTGGCGGAAGAGGGAAAAGGCTGGGGCTCAGACACACCCCCCAGGTTTGCCTTTCCCTGGTCCCCTGTCAGCAACTCACCCCCTCAGTCCATACCTTGATGCTAGTCCTTTCCCTCCTCATCACCCAGCTCTAGACTCCGCCTGGACCGCCGCCGCCGCCGCGGCCGCCGCCTTCCCCAGCCTACCGCCGCCGCCCCCCGGCTCCGCGGCGCTGCCCCCCGGCGGGACCCCGCTCGGCCTCGGCACCTTCCTGGGCGCGGCCGTGTTCCGCCACCCCGCCTTCATCAGCCCCGCCTTCGGCAGGTACCGCCCGCCCCTCCCCGCGCACCGGCACCGCGCTGTCCTGAGGCGGGGGCGCCGGGCTGAGCGCGGCCCCACACGGGACCCGCCGCGCGCGGCCGCCCCGCCGTTCGAACTTGGAGCGCCTCGCAGCCGGCGCCCATTGGGCGCCGCGCGGGTCACGTGCTTCCGCCGCGGCCGCTCATTGGGCGGGGGCGGCTCCCCCGCCCGCCCCCCGCGCGGCCGCGGGTTCCCCGTGGGGGCGGCCAGGCCGGGGCAGGGCCCCGCGGGAGCGGCCCGCGGAAAGCCGCGCTCCCCCTCAGAGTTAAACCCTTGCGTGGGTTTCCCTTCGTGCCCCCGTGCCCTCTGCTTTGCTCGGGGCGGAGGTTGCCGCTATTTGGCCAGTCGGGATGAACAGGAGCCGCGGCATCCCGGGTGCCGTGAGCCGCTCCGGCCGCGGGGGGACCGTCACGGACGGATTTTTAGCCGCGGGCATGAGTGGGGCTGAGCGGCTTCCACAGGTTCGCGTCCGGACGAGCTCCCGCGGGAGGTGCGGGCAGCGCCGGGCGGCCCCGGCGGCGCTGCTCGGCGAACGGGGGGAGCGAGCGCTGCCTGCCCGGGACCGGGGGCTTCCCCTGCGCATCCCCAGCCACTGCCCACTGCCGCCCTGACTGGCAGTCGGGGAGGACCAGGCTCAGCGACTTTTCCTCCTTTTTTAAATTTTTTTTTTTCCCCCAAAAATCTTTAGCCTGCCCGCCGTCGGGTATTTGCAGCGGGTCTCTGTCCCTTCGCGTCCGCGCTCGGTGGGGAGGAGGCGAGCGGGGCCGGCGCTCCCGGCGCGGCGGTGACGGCCGTGTGTGCTTCCCTTGCAGGCTCTTTTCCACCATGTCCCCCCTGGGCAGCGCCTCCAGCGCCGCGGCGCTGCTGCGGCAGCCGGCGCCGGCCGCCGAGGGCGCGGTGGGCTCGGCGGGGCTGGGGGACCCGGCCAGTGCCGCCGCCGACCGGCGGGCGTCCAGCATCGCCGCCCTGCGGCTGAAGGCCAAGGAGCACGCCGCCCAGCTCACCCAGCTCAACATCCTCCCCGGGAACAGCACGGGGAAAGAGGTGTGCTAAGGCACGGCTGCCGGCCGCGGGCTGCGGGATAGGGTTTTTTTTAGGGGAGAGAGAAAAAAAGAGGGGGAGAAGAGGAGAGTAAATACGCGAATCAATAAAGGTCACCTCAGACAGCATGAAGCAAGACCAAACGGGGGGAAAAATAATGATGATTTTTTAAAAATAAGAGGACCAGCAGCTGAGACTGTAGTAGGTCCTCAAGTTAGGAACTTGGGGAAAGTGAATGCCTCTCGCATCATCCCTCACACGAGTGAAACGACACTTAAAACCTCCTGAATGAGTAACTCCTTGGCTGGTACATTTCTTAAATGTACGACGTGTCCATTTCCTCTATGAACATAAGGGGGAAAAAAGTAAAAAAAAAAAAAAGAAAAAAAAAAGAAAAAAACCCTAATAAAAGTTACTATATATTAGCCTTTCGTACACTAAATATTTTTCCTTCTGTTTATCTGGCAAGAAAAAAAAGAAAGAAATAGAATTGTAATTAAGAAAGTGAAACAAAAAACAATAGAGAAGCTAAGAGAGGGGGGGAAAGCTACCCACATCTTCTTAAAATAGCATCCTAGGATGTTAAGTTGGTCAGTTAGAAGCGCTGGAGAACTATTTTACATGTTGCAACGAGCTGCATATGCTAACAAAGGATGCTGACAGTGCAAACTGAAAGTAAATTTGATGCTGTAAGATAACCAGTGCACTTAGGGGAAAGGGTATATCTTTTTCTTGTTATATTCTTTATCACTACACCAACCAAGGTTTTTATATCAAACCAAAGCGAAATACACTGCTAGAATATGGACTGTTTAAGTCACTAAACTGTGATTATTAATTCTGTACATACCATTGTTATAAAAAAAAAGAACAGAGCTTTGTATATTTGAAAAGTTATAAAACAATTGCACTCAGTGTAGTGTTGTAAAAGTTTGTCATTCTGTAGATTCTTACTGTGTTGTAGATATAATAGGGTTCCTAGACAAATATTTATGTACAAACTCTTTATTTAACTTATTAACTGTAGAGGTTTCTGAAACCCTCAAGAGGCGATGGTACAGTACTTTTTCGTGTAATGTCGTTATTGTTAACACTTTTCCTTGCTATCCGGTGGAGAAGTGCCACGTTCAGAAAATAAACAAAAATATATGTTTAACAAAAAAAGAAAAAAAAAAAGTCATCAAAAGAGAAGCAGAAAGCCCTGCTGTCCTTGCGGGGGCTGCGGGGCCGGGGCCGAGCTCCGCCAGCCGCAGCGCCGGGGTCCCCCCGCGGGCCGGGCCGGGGCGGGCGCGGGTGGCTCGGCCGGGAGTGCCGGGGCCGGGCGGGAGGTGCCGCAGCCCCGTTTGCGAGCGGATCGCGGGGCGCGGGGCACCCAGGGCCGGGCCTGGCCGCGCTGTGCCGCGGGCACCGTGGCGTGTCCCCCCGCGGGCTCGGGGCCGTCCCTTGGCGGCAGCGGTGCCACCCGCGGGGAGCCGCCCCACGCTGCCCGGGCGGGCACGGGACAGCCGCTGCCGAAAGGCGGGAGTGGGGGAGAAAATCTGGAATTTTGGGGAGCGCTTGGCCGCCCCCGCGCCTTTGGGGTTACAAAAGTTTCTCCGCGCCTGCCCCTTCGTTCTCCTAGAGGTGAACTTTCTTTCTTCCCTCTTCCTTTATTACTCCCCGGGTGGTTTTCTTACTCCTCTTTTTTTTTTATATTGTTGTTGTTTTTTCTTGTCTTTTTTTTTTTTTTTTTTGGGCGCAGCGGTCCCGCCTGCCCCTTCCCCGGAGCAGGGGCCGGGATGCGGGCAGCCCCGGCTGCTCCTCGCCGTCCTTCCCCCCGGCCGCGATGACGCCTGATCCCCCCGGCCAAGCCCGACGGGCCGCCGGAGAGCCGGGGTGTGGGGCTCTTTTTTTGGGTGCTTTGGTCCAATCCCGGCAGCGCTCACAGCGGCGGGCCGGGCCCGGAGAGGAGCCCGAGGGCAGCCCGAGAGGGGCCCGGCCCCGCCGGCGGCTCCGGGAGGTGCCAGCACCGCGCGTGGGAGCCCCCGCGACCCTTCCCCGCAGCTCTCCCCTCCACTCACGGCATTTCACATCCCACACCCCCCTACCCCGCCCGCCCCCGGCCGTATTTTTGAGTTCTAAAACCCACCATAGGCGCGCAAAAAAAATTTATGGGAAAAATAAGGCTTGTTCCTTGGACGTTATTAACGTGCAGCCTGAAATATACATTTTTGCCTCAAAGAAAAGGGAATCATTATCAAGCCATTAGGCATTAAGAAATGTCATTCAGTCATTTTTATTCATTCTGCTGAAATCTTCGTAAAAGCCCGAATCATACTTCTGCAAGCAGCAATTTTGTTAATCCAGGGGGTTATTACTCTGGTCCCTTATTAGGATCTATACTGCTGCCAAGCAATCCTATAACCTTCTCAAAAGAAGTTTACCTCCGTGTTATAAAACCAGTAGTGGTATTTATACTGTGCAATAATTAGTGTATTACCTGAATCCACTAACAGGTTCATTTTATCTCCGCACAAAACCCCTAGTCTGCTTATAGAAAGCTTGTGCCTCCTTTGGTGCTGTTAAAGTGGTGAAAGAGTGAATGAAGGCTGGTAGCACTTTCTCCTTTCGCCGTGCCTTAATTCCCATCTCTTTTTGCTCTCATCCAATTAGTGCAGTGTATTAAGCGGTTTATCATCTCATAGTCAGCTATTGAGAGAAACAAGGCGAACACTTTGCAATAGAGCCTGCTCTCCTTTGACACCCTCAGGTACTTACATATTCCACTGTGCTATGAATAATAGAGGAAGAATAGAGCGCTAATTCCCTCATCAAAGAATGCCTTGTCTGCTGCTTTGCTCAACAACACCATTCGGATCAAAAGAAAAGCAATAAAGCTTAGCATAACAAAACGAAACCTACTTATTAGCTTAGTGGTTAAATTAATGCAGAGCCGCTGCTATTCAAAACCAAGGTTTGAAAACAGCCTCCAACAACCTGATAATGCTGCCTTCGGGATGAAGGAATTTTAATCTGAAATTTGAAGCTGGCACAGATGAGTTAATCTATTAAACTGCTATAAGGAGGGTGCGGGAGAACTATTCAATTAAGGCACATTTAAGGTGCCCTGCAGAAGACGGGGATGGATTCGAAGGGGAAGATGTGCTCCGCTCCGGCCTTAGAAAACTGCCTTTGGCGGCGAAAAGAGGGATTTTGGCACAGCAGCAGCCGTGTTTGCGGATGGGAATTCTTTTTCATATCGCATATGTCATCAGCGAAACCTGGCCACCGGCTCCATATATCAACACTCCTCTTCCCCAACTGCAAATAAATACAAATAAACACAAACCTTCATTTTAACAGCACGGCGTGGGGGAGGGGGATGTGAGGAGGAAAAGGAAGGGAAGGCGATTCAGGCCAGAGCAGCCTCAGAATGCAAACCTCTGAACTTCACTTTTCCCAAATTATTTACAGCGCGGCGTTTACCAGCTCCATTTAATATTAAATGCTATAAAGATGATTTTGCGTTTCCCAGCCTTTCCGAGGGGCCAAGACGAGGCACTGTGCCCAGAGCTGATTAGAGAGGGAGAGGGGAGGGGGAAAAAAAAAATCCGGTTTTTACTCCTTGCCAAGACTTCAGCTCTGATCTGGCCAGCTTTGCTGAGAGGAATCAAAAAAAGCCTCCATTCGGGGTAAAAGCCCTCATTTGCCATCCTCACCCCCCCAGTGTGGCTGCCGGGGGCTCCGGGGCTGTGCCACTCACGGCTCCTGCGCCTCGGAGCGTGGGGGAACAGCCCCTGGCAGGGCCACTCTGTGCTGCTGCACCCTACACAGTCATTCCACAACACTCTCATTTAATCTAAACATCCCTAAACTTGCAAATTAACAGGCTCTTCAGCTGTAATTATACAGATACATACAAGTGCCACAGGGTCAGGTTACGCCATATCTATCCATTTTATTTGTATACCTAATGTCTGGAGGAGAAGGTCACACTTTTCACTTTCCTAAGGCATTCTACCCAGTAGAATCAGTATATATCAGTAATATCTTCATAATCCTAATTGAGCTGGACACAAAAAATCTAAAAATCTCTGCATGGAACTACAAGAAACCAGGATCTTTTGAAGTTCAGCAACTTCAGTACGGCATCTCGGCAGCAACACCTTCTTTCCAAGACAGACTCCAAATAAAGTCTGTTTTACAAAATTAACCCAACTAAACATATTGGGAACGATCAATAGCTCACCAGGGTGGGACAACACCTGCACAACACCAGAGGCTGCACAGATTCCATTTCCCACTGTAGTGATTCCATGTGAGCAGAAATGAAAGGGTTTAGTTCCAAAAGTTGCTAGGAACATGACTGTGTATTTAGGCATATTCAAACTGACACTACCCATACTGACACACAGCTTCTCCCAAATGCCACTCTGGGGACAACTGAATGTCATAAAATACTCTGAACACAATCAGATACATGAATCCCTACAGTGCCCAACATGTTCATGCTGATGCTCTTACTTCTTCTTCAAACTCCCTTTGTTAATGGCTGTTCATCCTAAAAACAGACACAAAAGCAATTCTGTAAGACCAGGAGAGGTCCAGAGCAATATGACCTAGCATTCATATTTTCAACCATCAGATCATAGAATCAAATTCTCTTTTACTAGAAAACTTTATTTTTTTTTCCTTCAAGTGTGAAAAAACTTTACATTTTACACTGTTTAAGATTTAAAGGCAATTTTTATAACCTTACATTAATATATCACATTGCAAACTAAACAGCGAACAGAGTACAATATTTTGTGTACAAAAGCATGTACCCAAATTTATTCTCTTGTCATATCTGCTTGTCGTTTTATTAGAAGTAAATGAAAAATACAATTTGTTTGTAAAAACTGTAAAATCTCCAACACAGTAATTATTACAGAACAGTAACTATGATTTGCTGCTTTCCATTCCCCTGTTATTGGTTACAATGCCATCCCAAAAATATTTTTCTCTATCGATTGCTTACTTTCAAATACTTTGAAATGAAACACATTTATATCCTCTGCATGAGTGAAATGGGTTTTGTTCATGTGCATGTCTTTACATCCACACAGAAATTGTCAACGTGGCAAAATGCTATGCTTAAAGATGCTTGGAAAGACTCCTAATAAAAAGATGGTCCCTATTTTTAGCACCTCCAGGTTTCAGTCGTTCTTTAATGAATTTCAAAGTAAAGCGTCCCTACCTCTGTTCAGAAGGTAATAGGACATTTAAATGCATTTAGGCTTAGTATTGTTTTTAATTGGTATGTTTATGATCAGGAAGAAGATAAACCGTGAAAAGGCAAAACATTAGTGCTCCTACTGAGACCTCTACTAACCTCTCTTCCTGAGAGCACCTCTAGTAAATACCCTGGAGCAAAGTCTAGGATCACTTACATTCCAGCAACTCTCACTGGGAATTATCCAATTAAAGCAGCAATTCCCCCACCCCCTTTTCCCTCATAGGTCTAAATACACAACAAAAAATATTGCAAAAATCAACTACTCCATATTTTAATAACTCTGGTTTCTCAATGAGGGAAAAAAAGGAAGATAAAAACACCTTGAATACTTCATATCCATAAGAATCATACATCCTGTTTTCATCTCCCATTTTTCCTCCTCCAAAGAGACAAGATTATTAAAACATCATTGTACATACTGAAATAGAGTATTGCTGAAGAGATCATTACTGATCAACAAGGGACTGGCCTCCCTCCATTTTTAATCAGTCACTGTCTTTCATTCCTGGGCTCTCCCACAGATCTATCTTCCTATACTGACGGTGAAGAGTTTGCCAAGGTTCACTTCTGAGTAGCCACTCATGGCCAGGCATTTGTCTACGGTGCTCTTCAGTCTTTTGTAGGCCTCAGAGACTTCCCTCCTGAGTTGCTTCTTCTTCAAATACTCTAGAAAAACAAAGATGAAAAACCCAAACACAAAGAGGGATTAAATGACCACAAAAAGACAGGATTTTTGCATTCATTAGACTGTGAATCAAGGTATTTTAAAACGAGGTGAATGTTGTAGATAGCAAAGAGCACATTTGTGGCAAGCTCTCCCACGTTCTGCTGCATTCCCAGCCTTTCCTGCAGGAGCTGGTGAGGGGCCATGGTGAACCCTGGCCATGGAACCAAGGCTGAAGCTCCCTCAGCCCCACCAGCACAGGAGCAGTGGGAAAACTGGAAAGAGCCACTCCTAGTTCAGTTTTGTGATGCAGCTGGAGTGAAATGGGGGTTCACTAAGTCACAGCAGAGAAAGTAAGCAATAGTTGGGCTGGGTCTGAAAGGATCCCATGTAAAAGGGGCATGTGCCCTCACTAGTGAGAACTATCCAGAGTCCCCAGGGGTTGGAAGCAGGGAGGGATTCTGCTCCAGGGTGGCTTCAGAAGTGAAAGAGATCACAATTCATGTCCAATTCATGTCCCTCATCCCTGCTGTTAATACTGGCACTGGCACAGCCTGGGACACACTTATCACCAGTATTGTGAGCTCTGAAATGCACGTTGTGTGCAGGACAGGAATTGTGATCCTCAGCACTAGGGAGGCACTGGAAGGAAAAGGAAGTAGCACAAACAACGAGAATTCCATGCTATTTTACCCTAAAATGGAGAGAAGATGCCCAGTATCTCAACCAGGAGATGTCAGGTTCACCAGATACATGAATGAAGAGGCTCCCAAATGCTTGATAAGAGATGTGTGGGGACATGCATTTACTCACCTGTACCTTTATATGTGTGCAAAGTCATGTGCATGAGCCTGTACATATTTCAGCAGCAAAGACCAAGGTGTTCTATTTCTGTTGGGTTTTTTATAAAATTTTCTGCCATTAAAAAAAACACACCCAAGGAATTTTCTCTGGGTGACTGTCCAGCTTTTCTTTTATAAAAGCTGTGAACAAAGACTAAAAGAGCAAAATATTCCACTACTCCATTATACAGCAATGCCAAGCGGATGCAGATCTGGCAATCTGTTCTGCTCCTACTTTCCAACCAACTCCACACTCCAGGAACACCAGCTCCTACCCAAAGGCTCCTACCCAAGCCTTTTCCTGCAGTTACACCTTGAACACTGGAGAGCACACAGACTGCAGAACAAGGTGTCCTCCCAGGCAGCTTCCCTGCTTTCAGACTGGAGGGACTCCACACCCAGCAGCACCAGGACAGCACAGCACAGGTACTTGCAGGTCAAGATTTGAAGCCACTGAGGTGCAGGGTAAAGCCACCAACAACATCCTTTCTATGTCTCATTAGCTTTGCCTCACTTCCCCCTGACACCTTCACAGCCCTCCTGCTCCTTTGAACACCTAACAGAGGAATCTCCATCCCCTCTCAAACAGCTTTTAGTCTACAGCACAAGTTAAGATGAAAAACCAGTTGTCTCTAAAAACAGTGGAGTTTATTTAAGAAAAGGTTTTTGGGGAGAGGGACATTCTGGTTTTCTGAGTCTATATGTACAAGGGGTGAAATGTCTCATTTTTGTGACAAGTCACACCTCTGTGTGTGATGTGACTGAGATGAAGGTGTCCCTTCAGACAACTTCACCTCAGCAGCCAAGGACTGCTACATGAGGAGATGGCAGGGATGGGAGGCATGGTGACAGAAAAAGCTATCACAGTTTTGAGGTTTGTGAAGTTCTTCTCCCTGAGGATTTACAAATATTTCTGCAGAACCTCAGATGTTGTAGTATGAGCTCAGCAGACTAGCTCTGGATATAATACAAACAGCAATGTTTTACTGAGAAATTGCCACCTGCTTAGGTTTTCCATGTTATTCACAAAGTTCCACTGAAGTTAACTGCTTTGCATGAAGCTATCAACTCTTTAAAAATTAAATTAAAAACTTAAATTAACAATGCCTGAGTAAGTGAATACATTGATTAAAAGCACTTTGATAAGCACCTTTCATGCATTGTTGTAAAGGAGTTATGTATTGTGTCTGGGCAGTAAGCAAACAGAGGAAGATGCCTTGTTGATGATACCACATTTTTACTGTTACACAGACAGTAGTGACTTAAAGTCTATTAGCAGAATTGGATTTTCCTTAAACTGCAACTCCAATACAACAAAAGCTTGCTTATGTGAATCTGCTCATTGAAGTCATTATGGCATAAACACATTTAACGATTCTGAAAGTATTTAGGTATAGGGTTAAATTAAACAAACCTTGAAAATTGTCTTAACCAGATCCATAAAAACACCAATCCCACTTTGCCACAAACTGAGCTCTCACTTTTTTATGTATTTTCAAGATTAATGATACAGTGTGGGTTCACTTGCAACTGCTCTCATTAGCCAAACCACGCTCTTCATATCAAGGAACTGTGGAAAATTCCATCCTTGTACTTCAAAACTAGGCCAAAATAGTTTGAAGCTTCCTGGAGCTCAGGAGGGTCCAAGGTAAAATACATCAATGTGAACAGCTGGCACATGTGAACAGAGCAGGAAGGCACATTAATCATTAGAACACTGAGGCAAACAATACACCAGGGCTGAAAAGTAGGGAACAGAAATACAGACCCATGTACAGCTCCAATTCAGGCTTCAGGGCTCCAGCCATCCCACTAACAGAGCTCCCAGCTCCCCCCAACATTAAATCTAAACTCCAATTATACACAATAACCGTTCTGACAGTATGCTTCAAACATTTCTTAGATGCAATTACCCTTGTAGAGGCAGGCAGGAAAGGATGGACTGAAAAAAAAAAAAAAAAGGAGAAATATGAGGGGCCTCGTTGAAGTAATGAGGCCAATTTTAAGTTTCAATTATAAGAGAATGGGAGCTGGGAGCTCCGGGAGGAGAGGCAGGCAGGACTGTGTGTGCAGCACCATGCATTTGAATGACACAAGTGCATCTGATGACTGGGGAGAAGAGATTTAAAGAACTGTAGTAATACAGAGCAGGGGAAGATGAGAGAGGACACAGCTCCTGATGTGTTTACCTCCTTTGCTGATGGGATATTGACTTTTCCCACCAGGTTGGTTAGAAAGGGGACTATTTACGCTGCCACACAGCAGAGTAAGAATGACAACCGGCATCATTCTGTGCTCCTGTGAGTAAAAGACAACTGTGGCCGCTGTATATCACACAGCCAGTCAATACCTCCGAGTTACCACACCATCCAACTTAGAGATGCATATAAAAGCTCCTACTTTCTTCCTAAATGAGAATTTAATCAATAACATGCTTAAGGCCTTCTGAAAACTGAGCTATACAAACTGACTGAAATTGCCTTTTAGTGCTCACTTTCTGAAATAGTTCTATGTCCATTATCACCCCATCATTGTTTTAGAAACATCCAAGTTCAGGGGCATGGAGCAATCTTTTAAGATGACCATTGCTGCGGAATGTATACATGGCTGTACATAATGAGATGTATTTCTATACATGCAGAGCACATGAAAGACACTATCAAAACAAATATAAAATTAGAAATGCAATTATTTTAGTAGAAATAAATTTTTAAAATCTGCTTCTGACTGTATGCAAGTATCAGGTACTGTATTTTCTAAAGTTAGTAAATCACTGACTCTGATAAATACTACAGAATTATACTACCAAGCAGGCAGGTAATCCCTCCTTCTACCTCCCAGCATAACTGCTCCCTCCTTCCCTTCACAAAACAGTCTGAACTTCTGGATATACTGTCAAATTTACTACCCCATCCTTGTTTCCTAAGTCCTTGTACCCTCAGTCCTTGTTTAGCTACCTGGGTATATTTTTACATTATTAGGGACCAAAAAAAAAAAAAAAAAAATTGGAAACATCTGAAGCAATGGAGATATTTGGATGTATGTGCCATTTGAAGGATGGAGATATTTGGAGGTTATACCTAACTGCATGTTTTCCATTTATTGCAATTTCTCTTCATTTGTATTAAATTGATGCTGATCATTTTAATAGAAATGACAGCCTGACTGCCACGATCAAGAACTTTGGATTCCCTAAAATGTGGCTCAGTTAAAGCCTTCTGGTCTTTTTTCCTCCTCACTGGACAACTGAACTGTGTCAACTATTAAACTCTCTCCCCTAATTATTCTGTTGACAGCCTGCTCTTCAGAGTGAGGAGTAAAAATCTATCACGTTCCTTTGTATTTATGTGCATGTATCTGCACCAGGTACAGGAGAAACAACATAGCTGCCTATGAGCACAGTGCCAAAACCTTGGTTTGTCTGGGAATGCACAAAACCCCCTGCAGAGTATCATTTATGTAAAGCATCATGTCTTTATGACACTTTTATTTAAGGAGTTAAGGAACATACTAAATTAGCTCCTGATTTTTTTACATCGCCTACTGGTTATTGTATTTTAATTACAGCAAGCTTAGACACACAGGCAGCAGCCTCTGTTCCAAATATCTGTGTTTCATTTATTTCTGTGCAAAGGTAGCAAACAACAGTCAGTCATAATTGGTTCTGTCAGATGTTTTACAGTCAGTCATAATTGTCTCTGTCTAGAGGTGTGTCAATTTACTGCAAGTTAAATAAATATTCTGTCTATTATGATATCAGGTTATATAAGCCATTTTTTTTAATTGCATGGGTTCCCCTTTCATAATCCACAGCACCCCTATTTATACTGTTAACCTTAACTTTGTCATTTATGGAATGTCAATGAAAAAAGTCAACAGCAATTTAATGAACAGACGTGGAAGCCTCTAACACAGTTGCTTTTTTATTTCTAATTAAATACAATCAATTTGGCTATAAAGCAATTAAAATTATTCTGTCATGATGCTGCTGTCCTCAAACATCTATGAGCAATGCCAGTTCATTGGTCTAAAGAAATAAATTTACTAACCCAAGTCTTAAGTGAATCTTAAATAAGCCTTCAGTCTTTTGCTGAATAAAATAAACCTCACAAGTCATACCAACTCCTAAACCAGACATCCTCTCCTACAGTCAGAGATGC